GGCGTGCTAGATCCTCTCGGTGTTGGCTTTGGTGCTTCTCCACTCCTGCGCGTCCCGCCGGGGTCCCGGGAATGTGCTCAATCCAAAAAAAAAGCCTCCAAGATGGCTCAAGATGGCTCCAAGATGGCCACGTTGGCCCAAGATGGCCTCCAACATGGTCTAAGAAGGCCTCCAAGTTCGCCCAAGATGGTCCAAGACGGCCTCCAAGACGGCCCAAGAGAGCCCAAGACGGCCCAAGACGGCCCAAGATGCCCCCCAGAGGCCCCCAAGACGGCCCAAGAGGCCTCCAAGAGGTCCTCCAGGAGGGCCTGAAGAGGCCAAAATCATTGGTTTTCCGTAGGTTGTTGAAGGATTTTGGCATTTGCGTCTTTTCGGCCTTCCGAAGACGTCAATGCGGCCCAAGAGGCCCCAAGATCGCCCAACAATCGCTCACGAGGCCTCCAAGATGGCCTCAAGACGGCCCAAGAAGCCCCCAAGAAGGCCCCGAGAGGGCCAAAAGACGGCCCAAGAGGCCTCCAAGACGCCCAAGATGGCCTCCAAGACGGACCCGAAGCGCCCCAAGAAGGCTCCAAGTCGGTTCAGAGAGGCCCCCAAGACGGCTCCCGACGGCGTCAGACTGGCCAGGAACGCCATAAGACGGCCAAAGAAGCCCTCGAAAAGCCCCAAAAGGGCCCCAAGAGGCCCTCAACAGGCCCCAAGAGAGCCCAAGATAGCCCCAACATGGCCTCCAAGACGGTCCCAAGATGGTCCAATCGAGCCCTAGAGTGCCTCAAGAGGCTCCGAAGAGGCATCATCCCCCTTCTACTTTGTCCTCCGTCTCCTCCTCCTCCCCTTCCTCCGACTCGGGGAACACATGGTCCGATAGCTTGGCCAAGCTCTAGCCCAGCTGTCGGACACATAGGCGCTTCCACCAGGGCAGGGGGCGGCGGTGATTCGCCGTAGGCGTCTTCGATCCGCCGCCCCCTGTCGATTCATCGCAGGGGTACCTGGCGTGCTAGATCCTTTCGGTTTCGATTTTGGTTTTTCTTCAAAAGAACTCCCCCTGGGTCTTCGGCCCAGCCCGCCGGGGTCCTGGAAAGATTGCCCAGGACCTCAATCCCCCAATGTTTCGCTCAAGATGGCCTCCAAGATGCCTCCAAGACGGCCAAGATGGCCTCCAAGATGGCTAAGATGGCCCCAAAATGCCTCCAAGACGGCCCAAGATGCACCCACGACGGCCTAAGATAGCCTCAGGATGGCCCAAGACGGCCCAAGAGCTCCCTGAGAGGTCTCCAAGACAGCCCAAGCACTTTCGCCTGTTCGGCCTTCCGACGGCCCAAGATGCCACCAAGATCGCTCAAGAGGCAAAGAGGTCTCCAACATGGCCCCATGACGGCCCAAGAGGCCCCCAAGATGCCCGCAAGAGGGCCCCAAGACGGCTCAAGAGGCCTGCAAGACGCCGAAGATGCTTCGAAGACGGCTAAGATGGCCCCAAAATGTCTCCAACACTGCCAAAAATGCACCCAAGACGGACTGAGATGGCCTCCAGATGGCCTAAGACGGCCCAAGAGGCCCCCAAGAGGCCTCCAAGACGGCCCAAGAGGCCTCCAAGAGGTCCTCCAGGAGGGCCCGAAGAGGCCAAAACCATTGATTTGCCCTAGGTTTTTCGAAGGATTTTGGCATTTGCTTCTGTTCGGCATTCCGACGGCTCAAGACGGCCCAAGAGGCACCCAAGATCGCCCACGAGGCCTCCAAAATGGCCCCATGACGGCCCAAGGGAAAGGGCTGAACTCGGACCCGGCTGAAATCGGACCCGGCTGAACTCGGACCTGGCTGTACTCGGACCCGGCTGATCTCGGACCCGCTGAACTCGGACCCGGCTGAACTCGGACCCGGCTGATCTCGGACCCGGCTGATCTCGGACCCGGCTGATCTCGGACCCGGCTCAATCAATCAATAGGAGCCCAAGGGCGCATCCAATGGCGCAACCAATCGTATCCAGGTTTTTAGCAGCGGCGGAGGGCGCTACCAATGCTGCAGCCAATGGGAACTAATCATATTCTCGGCGGCCGATGGCGCAACCTATGGCGCAACCAATAGGAGACAGCCATGCTCTCGGAGGCCGAGGGCGCAACCTATGGCGCAACAAATGGGAGCCGGTTATATCCTCGGCGGCTGAGGGGGCAACCTATGGCGCCATCACTACGAGGCCGTTTTATTGTGGGCCGACGCCGACGATGGCGGCGACGGAGACGGCGACGGCGACAGCGACGGCGACAGTGACGGCGACGACGGGGATGGAAGGGAGGGGAGCCATGCGGTTACATCGGTTACCACTCAGAGCTGTGAGGCGGGAGGTCTGGACCAAAAGCTTTCCAGTGAGAGTTAAGAAGCGGGAGGTCTGGACCAAACGGTTACCACTCGGAGCCCTGACGCGGGAGGGCAGGTCAAAGGATCACCTGCAAGAGTGAAGAAATGGTCGGTAGGGACCAAACTGTTACCACTGGGAACTCTGAGGCGGGAGGTCTGAACCAAAGGATTATAAGTAAGGGTCGAGATGCAGGAGGTCTGGACCGCCTGGGTACCATTCGGAGCCCCGAGGCTGAAGTTCTGGACTGAAGGGTCACCAGTGAGAGCTAAGACGCGGGAGGTCTGGACCAAACGGTTACCACTCGGAGCCCTGTCGCGGGAGGTTTGGACTAAAGGATTACCAGTGAGAATTAAGAAGCGGGAGGTCTGGACCAAACGGTTACCAGTCAGCGCCCTTGAGGAACGAGGCTAGGACCAACGGGTCACCAGTAAGAGTTCAGCGCGAGTTCTGGACCAAACGGTTACCACTCGGAGCCCTGGCGCGGGACGTCTGGACCAAACGGTTTACCAGTGAGAGTTGAGAAGGGGGAGGTCTGGACCAAACGGTTACCACTAGGAGCCCTGACGCGGGAGGTCTGGACCAAAGGGTTACCAGTGAGAATGACGAAGCGGGAGGTCTGGACCAAACGGTTACCATTCGGAGACCTGAGGAGGGATGGTTTGAAGTATGAGCTCAGAAGCGGGAGGTGCGGACCAAACGGTTACCACTGGGAGCCCTGAGGCAGAAGGTTTGGACCAAAGGTATACCACTCGGAGCCCTTTCGCGGGAGGAGTCTGGACCAAACGGTCACCACTATGGGTGAAAAAGTTGGATTTCCAGGCCGTCTCGCGCAAGCGCGTGGGCGAATCAGCACGTGGTCTTGCTGCGAGAGGGCGATGCACGGCGACCACTTGACGACCAAGGTCGCGGAGCGGTGCCGACGAGTTCGTCAACGTATAGGTGTTCGTCTCCTTGTGCGGCGTCCGGTTTCTAGGTGAATGAGGTGTTATAGGTGAATGAGGTACATACAAGGGGAGGTGTTCTAGGTGAGTAAGGTATGTTTTGGTGTCGGCTTGCAGTTTCCGGGGGGTGGGGGGCGTGAGATGACTTGGGGGCAGTCCCAGGTACCATGGCGCATTTGAGATGCCACTCCCGCATGGCTCTACTCATCCCGCGATGGGCGCCGTCATTGGGGCTCTTTGGGTTTCAATGTCGTCTCCGGTTGTTTTCGTCAATGGGTTTGTTGTTTGGGGGCATGGCCTCCGAGGAACATGTTCGTTTGTTGGGGGGTCGTTCTGGTCTGTCATGTTTTCTGGGGTGCGCAGCCAGGCTGTCAAGTACCAGTGCCGGGTGGGCACGAACGATATCACTCAGATGAGCATGGGCAATTGCAGGAACGCTTCGGCCAATCCCACCACCGTGACTTGGTCGTGGGTCAGACGCCCAATGGATGCTTCTTGGGGTCTCTGCGGAGGGCTCTCACGGGCTTCGGGGGGAAAGTTTTGAAGTCTTTTGGGTGTCCCTTGGGAGTTTTGATGTGTGTTTCGGGCTTCATGGGGTCAGTTGGGGGGTGAGGATGAGGGGGGGCAGGATCAGGAGAGGGAGGAAGAGGAGGACGAGGAGGGGTAGGAGGAGGAGGAGGAGGAGGAGGAGGAGGCCCCTCTGGAGCTTCTTGGGCTACTCTAGGGGGTCCTGGGGGGTTCCTGGTGGCCTCTGCGAACGTCTTGGGGGATTCCACGAAGCCTTCTTGGGGGCCTTCAAAGTCTTCTTGGGGCCTTGCTTGGTCGTCTTTGGATATTCTTCATCCCTCTGTCTATTCTTCCTTTCAACTCATTCAATTTCGCGTGCGGACACGTAGTCACCCAGGCGTCCCGCTTGGCTTCGCTGCAGACATTCTCGGGACTGCAGCTTCCAGCGGACTCGATGGTTTTTTCTTGCCCAGCGGTCGTCAAAGATGGGGAGGGCACGAGGGCACGTTGGCGGTCGACCTCTGGCGCGGCCGGTCCGAGATCAGCCGACGGCTGAACTCGGACCCAGCTGATCTCGGACCCGGCTGATCTCGGACTCGCTGAACTCAGACCCGGCTGGTCTCGGACCCGGCTGATCTCAGACCCAGCTGAAGTCGGACCCAGCTGATCTCGGACCTGGCTGATCTCGGACCCGGCTGAACTCGGACCCGGCTGATCTCGGACCCCGACGCTCTCGCTGCAGCGCGGGCCCCGGTCCGAATTCATCTGGGTCCGAGTTCAGCTGGGTCCGAGATCAGCTGGGTCCGAGTTCAGCTGGGTCCGAGATCAGCTGGGTCCGAGTTCAGCTGGAACCGAGTTTTCGGGTCTGGGATTCCGGGTCCGAGTTCAGCTTGGGTCCGAGTTCAGCTGGGTCCGAGTTCAGCTGAGCCCGAGTTCAGCTCATTCCAAGAGGCCCCCAAGACGGCCCCAAAACGACCCAAGAGGCCACCGCCTGGCTTTGCAGACCGATGGACCAAGGCCTCCTCATGTGGCACGCCTGGATAAGTACAGCAAGCTCTTATGTGGGCCCTAGGGCAGAGACGCGAAGCCCCCGCGGCCTCGTTGTCTCGAAATCGGATCCGATCGATCGGATCAAAATGGGCCGAGGTGCGGCGCCGCGCGGCAGCCGGCGCGAGCCTCGCGCGCGGAAGCCTCACATGGACTCAAACGCCAATCGCATCCTCCTCGTTCGTGTTCGCAAGCGCAGCACCGTGAGCCCGCGCCGCGAGCCACGTCCCGCGGCTCGACGCGGACAGCCGGGGCAGCCTGTGCTGGCTCGGCTTCGCGTCCTCCCCCGGAACGACCAGCGGCTGGCAGCGGGGCGAAGTGGGCGGACTGCGCGAGGTGCAAGAGGTAGGGCGGCGCTTCCCATGGGCCTTGGGTATCCGGTCGAGCACCTCCCGTGCCTGGATCTCCAGCACGTGGTCGGAAGCACTGATAGAAAATGGTAGCGCAATGGTCTTGAAGAATGCCTGAATCAACGGCCGCGCCTCCTCGGCCAGCTCCTGGAGGATCGCAGGGAGCTCCTCGTTGTAGTAGTTGCCGTCGGGGAACCTGAAGCCGTCGATGAAGACTGGGACGATCACCGGGCACGAGTGAGCCCGCCCCGGCGTCGTCGGCGTGTGCTTGCCGGTCGGCGTGTGCTTGCCGGGTCTGCCAGAGGCCATCGCTACCATCGCCATTCCGGGCGAGCTGGGCAAGTCGACGCCAGAGTCGTCATCGTCACCATCAAGAACAGCAGCACCTTGTGTAGGATGTGCCGCCGCAGACATCAGGTCGGTGATAAGTCGAAGCTGCGCCGCAGACTTCATCGAGCCTTCAGACAGCAACACAATAGTGGCGTGGCACTGCTTGGCCGCACGGCTGTAGGTCGCAGGCTCCGCTTGCTGGTAGTGCTGGAGCATGAGGGTTCCAGTGTCCGTCAAGGACAAGACCCGCTCTTGGATCCTTGTGTTCAAGATGGTGGCGGCCGCCGCAGCCTCCATGTCCATATGGTCGCACGAGAGGACAACTGCGCCCTCCAGGTTCTCCATCAACAACGGTGGGAGATCCATATTGATGTCCACATTGATGTCGTAGCTATCTTTAGAGTTCTTGGCAATGTAGTCCACAAGCGCATCGAGGTTGTACACTCCGCCCTCCTGCAGCCTCAGCTGTGGGGTCGTCTCGCCCAGCAACCTTATGTAGGCAGCTCGCACGTTGTCGAACGATATGCCATATTCCGCAAGGGCACAGGATTTGAGGTCAAGGTACTCGTCGATGCGATTCAGATGGTCCTCCGTCGGCGGCCGGAAAGATGGTGTTCTCACAGCTGTGACCTTCACTCTGCTTGTCTGGAAGGCCGTTGCGATTTCCCCGGCGCACCAGGGCCGGCCCAGCGTGTCCTGGGTGAGATACACCACCAAGTGCTTCACCCTGCACTTCACAATGTCGAAGAGGTCGTCCAGCTCCGTCAGATTGTCCGAATCGATGAAGACGCGCTGGTGCGTTCTCGCCTGCAACTTCATTTTGAGCAGCCGCGCTTGCGCGGCAGCATCCGCCTTGTGGTGGCATATGAAGTACTGGTACAAGTTCCGGGGCCTGTAGCGATTATACAGACCCCAAAGGATCGTTGCACCTGCGACGACGAATACGAGAATGACTGACAGGAGCCCCACGTACTCGACCGTTGCCGGCTTCACCTGAAGGTCTGCCACCATGGCCCCAGAAAGTAACAGCATCACCAGCAGGACATTGAGTACCCCATCCATCCAATTAGCCACGTACTTGCGCCATGGGTTGAGCTGCTGCTGCAGCAGCGTTGAGAAGCAAACCACAGCAGCCATGGCGCAGATCTGGAGCGCCACGTCGTCACGGATCATTACTGGCACGAGGCAGATCGCGAGGCTTCTCGAGAGCAGAATGACACCGTAGAAATACCTGCGTGGGCAGTAGCGGAAGTACAAGAAGCGCATGGCCTGCAGCGCATGCCGCGAGTGCGCCGTCTTCGAGTCCTGTAGAAACCTGGGGTAGTGCCAGACAAAATAGCACGCGCAGGCCAGGAACGGCAGCGGAACCAGCAGCAGCGACAGGAGCCCGACTGCGATCATCGTGCCGTGGCGGCCCCCTTCGAAGCACAGAACGGAGCTAGCGCTCACCATAGACCATTCATCAGAGGGTCTGGGATGCTTGTAGCAGATGAAGGGGGACATCCCGGAAATGACAATCGATATGAAGAAAATGTTGAACACCGTGCCTACTGTGTTGATCAGCTCGATATTGATGTTCGTACTCGGGAACCACGCCTTCTTCTTGATGAGAAGCACGAGGAAAATAATGGGAATGCAACTCGGAGCGACGAACTGCCGCATGAGAAAAGCATTCACCGGGTTGGAACCCATGATGCAGCCAACCTGAAGGATCTGCAAATCGAAGCTCATCAGGTCGACAATGCTAAAAACGGTTCGCATTGGGCCTGTCCACTCGATGGACAACTGGTCGAAAATGCCAATCGTCTGGATCCCGCTGAGCAGCAGTCCGAGCATCACAATGCTTGTGACCGTGACGTTGGACTGCAGCAGCAAGTTGCGGTTAACCGCCACGGTGAGGAGGGCGAGGCCGACCACCGCGAAGACGCCGAAAAGGATAAACGGTAGGCCATCCATGGTCTTGCACTTGTGGCAACTGCCGCCGGAGGAGTACGAGCCATCCACGCACTCGCCGCACGCGGGCTCCTCGGAGTCCATCAGCTCCGCGCAGGAAGCCGTACCACCACCCGGACAGTTGCCCTCCGGCAGGCACCGGAAGACGCGTGTGGGGTCGGAGGAGAGCGACATGTAGCCTGGCTGAAGCTGCGGGAACGGCGGCTGGTCCTCAGCGAAAGGCCCTGAGCCTTGAACGACATTCTTGAGGTCGCTGCCCAGCGCGCAAGCCATGCCCTCGGGGCAGGACTCGCAGAGGACACCAGCGACGGCCTCCAGCGGCCTGAAGGTGTCCTTTGAGCAGGGACCGACCGTCCCGGCATTCTTATAGTCCTACCACGGAATGTTATTAATACCCAAACATGTTCTAAGAACAAAGACAATATTCTGAAAACATAAGCTGGATGTAATAAAAAAGACAGTCCCAACCAGAAATGTTCTAGGAACATTTCGTGGGAACCACAAAACGTTCCTAGAACATTGTTTGGTAGGACTACAGGCACGCCAGGACGCTTCGCCACTGCTTGAGTCCTGCGGGCACACGCACTCACTCTCGGAGGTCGAGCCCGGCCACCTCGTGCTCAGCTGGCCGCCAGCATCGCATGCCCTGCACTCGCTCTGGCCCGTCTCGTTCTGCCACCGACCGGGAACGCATAGGGTGCAGACCGCCGCGGCCCCGGTGGACGCTGTGCCGGCAAGGCACGGTTCGCAGGACGTCTTGCCCACCTGCGCCTGGAACTCCCCAGCTAGGCAGTCCACGCAGGCTGTCATGCCCCTGTTCGGCGCGTATCTGCCAGGTGCGCACCCTGTGCACTGCAGGCCATCGTAGTAGAAGCCTTTCTCGCACTTGGTGGCGTCGGGAATCCAGCCGCTCCACGTGACCTCGTTGTCCTGGAGCCACTGGCAGGCAATGTCCCAGGCGTCCTCGGTCATCTGTCTGGTCACGAACTGGTCCATCTGATCGTTGGAGAAGGTGGCCCGGCTGAGGAAGTTCAGGATGTCGTCTCCCCTGTCGACCTCGAGAATCTGGTCCCATACGACCTTTTCGGTTGGCTGGGACTGCTTGATGGTGAGCATCTCCTCACGGAAGATTACCATCTGGGGACTGAGCGCCTCGAATGTGCTGTCGGGCTGCCACCAATAAAAGAGGAAATTGAGACTCCGTGCTGCCAGCTGCGGCACCGCCGTCATTGCCCCATTCACCCAACCATAGGCAGTGATGGCGAAGGGGAGCTCGTAGTTTTCAGCAACGTCGATCCACTCCCTCGTGTTCCACTCGAACTCTCCCAAGATCACGGGGATGCACAGGGAAATGTCGGACCTGCAAGCGCTGGAGATGTACCACCCATCGTGGATGTGGTCCGAGAGGCCGAGCGACTGCATCGTGGCGTACCCTGCCGTTCCGTCCGCGAGCTGCGAAGTATAGCTCATGTCCGACATCGCCAACCGCACGTCGACGACATCCGAGAAGCAGCACGACCTGGTCGCAGGCAGCAGGAGCGACTCCCAGAACCCGAGCGCGATGCCCGCGCTTCTCGCCAGGTCGTACGAGGACGGGAGCGCACGCAGGCCGGGCGAGCTGATGTAGCCCCCGAAGGAGGCGCCGGACACGAACTTCCGCAGCCGGCTCTCTTCCACCGTGGAGGTCCACACCTCTGAAGGGGCCCTGGGACACACAAAGACATAGGCACAAATAGCAGGATCCCCCATCTGTTCCAATATTTTCTGGGTTTTCGTCTTCCCCCCCACTTCCCATATTTTTTCCTATATTTTCTGGGGAGTCCAGGATTCGTTGTGTCTGTGTGTGTGTGTTTTTCCCCTCCTGACACACCTCGTTCACCGCCCAGACTGCGGGAGGGACCTGGAACTCTCCGGCGGCCCGCTCTTCCTCGGAGCACTCCAGGGAGTCGTTCGAGCAGCCGCTGACCTCGCGCAGCAGCTGCTCCGAGCTCGACCCAAAGCTGGTCACGGTGCGTATGCCCATCTTCTCACGCAGGAGGATGTCGATGATCTCGAAGGGAACCCGCGGGGACAGCCACACACCTCGCGCGATGGTCAGCGGGTACATGGCCCCTCTGTACTCGACCATCTGCAAATCACCTTCGGCAACTACAGAATAATGGTCGGAAGAAAGGCAGGAGCCCTCGGCCAGCCGGGGCATGATGATCAGGGCAACGCTCATGGTTTTCCACATGACGCTCTGGTGGCGTTGGGAAGACATGACGCTTAGTTGGCCTTGGCGCCTGAGTCAGGCTTGAGCCAAAACGGCCCAAGAGGCCTCCAAGACGCCCAACATGGCCTCCAAGATGGCTAAGATGGTCCCAAGATGCCTCCAAGACGACCCAAGATGCACCCACGACGGCCTAAAATGGCCTCAAGATCTCAAGATGGCCCAAGAGGCCCCCAAGACGGCCCAAAAGGCGTCCAGGAGGTCTTCCAGGAGGGCACGAAGAGGCCAGAATAATTGATTGACCTAGGGGTTTAAAAAGATTTTGGCATGTGCTTCTTCTCGGCATTCCGACGACACAAGACGGCGCAAGAGGTCCCTAAGATCGCCCAAGAGGCCTTCAAGATGGTCCCATGACGGCCCAAAAGGCCCCCGAGACGGCCCCAAGAGGGCCCCAAAACGGACCAACAGGCCTCCAAGACGCCCAAGATGGCCTCTAAGAACCCCTGATATGCCCCAAGAGGGCCTCAAGACGACCCAGACCGGCCCCCAAGACGGCTTCCGACGGCGTCAGACAAGCTAGGAACGCCCGAAGACGGCCAAAGAGGCCCCCCAGAAGCCTCCAAAGGCCCTCAGAAACCCTCCAAGAGGCCCCCCGGGAAGCTCCCAGGAGGCCCCAAGAGTGCCCCAAGAGTGCCCCAAGAGGCGCCCAAAAGGCCTCCTCCTCCTCCTCCTCCTCCTCTTCCTCCTCTTTTTTCCTCCTCTTCTTGGTCTTTCCCCATGCGTTCCCCGAAGCCTTTCCAAACCGACTCGGGGAACAGCTGGCCCGATAACTTGGCCAACCCCTGGCCCAGCTGACGGCGGTGATTCGCCGTGGGCGTCCTGGATCCGCCGCCCAAGGTTGCCCGGCGTGCTAGGTACTTTCGATGTTGGTGTTGGTTCTTTTCCAAAAGAGTTCCCCCTGTGGTTTCGGCCGATCCCGCATGGGGCCCGGAAAAGGCCCAGCAACCACCTCAACGACCGCAAGAAGTTCTCCAAGACGTCTCAAGATGGCCTCTAAGATGGTCACGTTGGCCCGAGATGGCCTCCAAGATGGCGTTCAACTCGCCAAAGGTGGTCCAAGATGGCTTCCAAGACGGGCCGAAAGAGTCCAAGATGCTTTCAAGTTCGCCCAAGAAGTTCGAAAGGGGTTGGGAGGGCCAAGCAGCAGCTTCGCCTAAGGCGGAGCCCATATCCAACTCTGTTGTACCGTAGTAGCGAGAAGCCCAGAACTAGGAGACCGTCGCGGGAACGACGGGCCATGTCAAGCGAATATGTTTTCAGTCTCAATGGCAAGTGGTGTGCCTCGCGATGAGGCGCAGTCAAAAATTAGCGGCCGGCCGCTTGATTACAAACGGCCGCGGACAAACGCTCGTGATCTCTCGCCTTCGCCCCGGCTCCCTTTAGAGTGGGGGGGGAGACGAAGCGTGAGTCCGCCGCCCGCTATACAGTAAACGCTATATACACAAGGAAGGCCGCAACAGGCGGGTTTAAAAGGAAGGTTGACCAGCGCGCAAGTCAAGTGCCCTTGGGCGCAAGTTGCCTTGCGAACAGATCGCCTTGGAGGCGAGTGTTCCTCAGGCGGCGTCAGACGATGTTGTCTGATCTGCCTGGTACGGAGTATGACGTTTTAAATCGTGATTGAAGGCCTGCAATCCTCCCATGACCTGTAGGACTGTAAGAGCATACCTCTGTCAATGCTCCCTTTGATGTGACCGTCCGCAGTCATGTCGTGAGTGTCGCACCACTGTATCATATGCACGATACCTCGCTCCACCATCATTCGTATCCAATTGATGTGTCCCGAAAGAGTACATCCGGTCGTTTTATGCAGGTATTTGCTTGACAATGAGTTCAAGACATATTCCGCATCTATGGTCAAAGTGACCTTCATGCTCAGGCCGCCCACCTCCAGTATTTTCTTCAACTGAGTGGGTGTCAGCGGCCCTGCGTGGAGTTCGTGCAGAGTGACGATCGTGGGATAGCAGTCCTCCAAGTTGTGGGCTGTTGGTCGTGTTTCCGCTGAATAGCTCGAGCGGACCTGCAAGCGGTGAGACTTACAGTGCGCATCGATAAGATGGACTACAGGCGCACCAGCAGGCGCGCTTCCGCGCCGTAGCAGGTTTGCCCCGCGAATACCATAGCCCTTCAGCTCGTCGTCAGCATCTCCACTCAGGCGTCAATAGCCGCGGACGCCGTGCAGGTCAACCTCACCCGTTGGAGGAGTCATCGATCGATAGATGATCTTCTTGGGGCAGGCCTGCAACGTCCTGGTGATCGCGTTCAGTCGTCGCACATGTATGTTGGTCGGTTCTTGGGCACGCTATAGCCGGCTAGACGTAAGAGCGACCCTGGGCAAGAGTGACCTTTGCTGCGCAGCTCTCGGGGGCGCGAGGGAGTCAAACCTATGAGCGCGGGCCGCTTACATTGCATCGCGCTCGGCGACCGGCGGGGGGGGGGCGATGGGCCCGCGCCAGCGGTCACTCCGGCGAAGGGTCACTCTTACGCGTGGTCGATATAAGCAGACAACATATACCACCAACCATACCTGCGTTATTAATGCGTAAGCCAGAGCGCTTCTGAGGCTGACAAACATGTCAGTGGTCATCTTTGATGCCTTGTCGTCAGCATCGGCGCCGGTGAGTTCAGGGCATCGCATGGGACGGAGCTGTTGTATGTATTCGTTTTGAACAAGTGTAACGTTGCAATCCCCATTCTTTGTCTACATCACAGCGCAGTTGGTATATGTATGTTTGTTGAGCTTACATTTACCAAACATATCCTCCACGCACTTGGCGCACCTGTCGATGGCGTCCTAAGTGCTGGCCACATGAATATCATCAACGTGCTTGGCTGTGAGAAGGTCGTTGCTTGTCTCGAACTCCTCGTCGCAGGACGTGGGTATGAGACCGAACCCTCCTGTGGTATTTCTGAGCTTCAGTGAGAAGGCTCTGGGTGCATCCTTGGTGCCGGTACCTGGCTTGAGGCGCTACAAGCAGTAGGGCTCGAATCCTGGGAGGGATCAAAG